TTTTTCAGGAAATTCTTTATGCCACCATTGTTTTTAAATTATCGTCCACAATATGGATTGATGATGCAATTTTCGACTCAAACACCCCCCTCATTCTTCCTCTATGTTGGTTATTGAGAATGTTTTGAATGTTGGAGCAAGTGAATTCCCTGAATTCTCTACACAAATGGCTCTTAGAGGTACGTGAGGTGTTAGCAAGGCCACTCCACATGCAGAAGATTCAGCTCGTACTCACTGATAAAGCCCCAAAGGGAGTATTGAGCAAAATTTGGTGTTGTTGAGTGGCCGGATAAAATGTGGAACAAACATCATTGTTGGCAGAAATAAAAAAAAAGTTAATCATACTGAGAGAAAATCGCTGAGTATTGTAATAAGCATTGCTCAATTGATCCTTCTCATGGTGGAGTTTCATGCATAAATCATTACAACTGCGTCAACGAATATTGAGCAAATGGACTGGCGCTTACGATAATGCTAAGCGTATGAAAAAACCGGATGGTCGGAGAATGATGTATTGGTGAAAGCTCATGAATTATATTCAAGTAGTAAGAATGAACATCTTAATTGAATGTCAGAATAGTTCGTTTTTTGTGATCAACCATGGTATGTTAGTCAAGTAGGAGAAAATAATGGTTATGGAAGTAGTGGATCTAAGAAAGTCCAAGAGAGTTATGCAAGTGATTTAAACTCTATGGGATCTATTGCTCGATGCAGTTAAGAAAAAGGTAAAAAGAAAAGTAAGAGCGCAACCTTGGAAGTCGTCAATGAAGAGTGGATGAATACAAATAATTAAAGGAACATAGGTTTGAAAGATTGGACAAAATTACCATTAAACAAGAAGAAGCAAATCAATTGATGAAAGAAAAGACCCAAGTAAAGAAGATGAAGATATTTCTGAAGCTAAATGAGAAGGAACATCTTTGATGACCGAAGTAAACAACTATTAAACAAGTTGAGCCATGATCTATTTTGGAAATTAATTATTATCATCTTAAAATTTGTTATAATTTCACTTCATGGTCTAATAATGTGTGTTGTTTTATGTTTCAATAATGATGTTTACAAACACATCACACGAAATGCTACTGGTTTTGGGTTTTACTGGATATGGAGAAATCAACATATCATCAAATTGGTGAAATGAGCTAATAAAAGTAAGTAATTTTAATTTTGAATTTATTTTATACTCTTAAATATATAATGATATATATATATATAAATATAATAAATAAATTATTTATTTATTTATATTTTATGTTGTAGATTTGTTCAGAAGCATCAAAGTTGTAAATACACCCTCTTAAAAATATACCTCTACTTGATCGTATGTATGTCAAGTCACAGATTTTTTCACGAAGAATGATAACTTTGTACTAGACCAAATTAATTACTTCGTGATCCACCAAGCCCATTTTCACAAGTGGTTGAATAAAATGAAGAAGTCGAACCAATTGAACTAACTAAAAAATTGGGACCACGTGGAAAGGGAAATCTATAACTTCTCTAAACAAGCTAATCCATATAAGTGAGAATGTCTCACAGCCGCCATTGAATACCAAGGAAAATTTTGGATAGGTGGTCGAAAGATAATTGAATCTCTAAATCAATTCAGTTGTGCAGTTTGTATGCAAGAAATTTTAAACATGACCACTACATACCATTGAATTCGATATTTTCCGCATCAATGGCGAGGGGGACAACCTTCAAATGAGAATGAAATGTTTAATAAGCGTCATTCCTCTTTGCATTTTGTGATTTTGGGGTGTGTAAAAGAAAGTCTGTTGTCCTCAAAAAGTAATCACGCTATGATCTTCAAACACAATGTAAGAATATGAAAAAACAGAAAATGAAGTGTTTGAAACGTCAGATTTGGATGATGATGATGCTAAAATTCAAATAATGGGTTATGTTCCTACATGAGGTGCATACATGGAGGGTGTTGAAAACAACATTGCATAAAAAATATGGAAAGCACATAGACAAATTTTTCTTATCCATACTTTTTAGTTTGAATTTTAGTTTTTACAAATGTTTAATTTCAACAGTTTTATTTTCTAGTTCGTATTTTCTAATAAATTATAAATTAGTTTAATTTTTTATTTTCATAAAACTTGAAAAATATTTTTATTTTTAGCTCTCATTCACATCTCACAATTTCACATTCACATCTCCCAGTTCTTTACTCCTGCTTAGTGGTTCCTCTTTCGCTATTTTACATCAATCATATAAACTTACGACAATATATATGTTATGTTAATAGATCAAATAACTGGTTATGTCAATGTTTATCCAAATATAATAAAATTTATGAAATTCCAAACTACTTATGATTAATACTAAAATATTAACCTTAGTGCAATGTAGTTAGTGTTGAGACAAATGTTCAGAATTTTAAATTGGTTATCCAGTTTAACTAAATAATATCTAGCTACTGGAAAATATAAATTATTTGAAGATGTAAACTTAGGATAATAGATATATGTTTATGTTAATAGATTAGTTAACCGTTTAGGCCAACGTTTATCTAGATGTATAAAAATTTATCAAATAAATAATTAATTATGTTTAATACTAAAATATTAATTCTAGGGTAATTTGGCTAGTGTTGATGTAATTTTTTAACATTATAAATTAGTTTTCGGTTTAATTGTATTTTACTCTGATGTTTCATAATTATTCATGATCATACTTACAATATGTAGCTTATAAATTAAGAATAAATACCATTACACCAAAATCCTAGAGTGAATATTAGATCATTTAAAAGAATGCATAAATAACGCATACTAAGTTATCATACCTTATATACACAGCTATCATCACCATCCAAAAGTCAAGATCTTATATGTACAATTATTATCACCATCCAAATATTTATTGAATCAGATCTACAATAACAAAGATGAGTTAAAAGAAAATTGAAATATTATGTAACAACATATACAACAATTACTGAATCATAATTTTCTTTCATCCACTCTCAAGTATTACTGTCTTTTTCTGTGAAGCATCGTGATATGTCATAGACGGTTAGGGGTGGGACGGATCCGGATATCCGGGAATTTTGGAGTATCCGGATCCGGATCCGGATTCGGCGGATCCGTAATTTTAGTATCCGGATTCGGATTCGGGCAGTCCGGGTATCCGGATCTCGGATATCCGCCCAGAAATTGTAATATCCGCGGATATCCGGATTCAGATTCGGATCCGTAAAATAATTAAAAATAAATNTTATAATTTTAAAACACGGATCCGGATCCGGATATCCGGACCTAAAAATTAAGATATCCGGATTCGGATCCGGTTTGGACGGATCCGAGATTTTACTATCCGGATTCGGATCCGGGCACCCCGGATATCCTATTTTCGGAGCGGATCCGGAGCGGATCTCGGATCGGATCCGAATCCCGGATAATAAGTCCCAGCCCTATAGACGGTAATGTAGCTAAGAGCATCTCCAAAAGACTCTCTATAACTTCAAATATAGAGTTTTTTCCTCTCCAAAAAGAAACTTCAAAACTTCAAATTTGAAGTTTTGGGGAGTGAAACTTTATATTTGAAGTTTCACATTTTCAAACTTCAAATTTGAAGTTTCATCTTTTTATTTGCAATTTGGTCCTTATATTTACATATCTTATTTAAGATTTTTAAGTATTTTTTTATTTATCATTTTAAACTTTTAAAAAATTATATCTCACAAATCTTAAATTTATTTCTAAAATTAAGCTTTACACATAAAATTAAATAAAAAAATTTAAATAAAATTTATATTATTTTTAAAATTAGAATTAGACAACAAGAATGTTACAAAACAAACTTAATTAAAATTTTTTTTTAAAAAAAGGTACATGAAAATGTAATTACTATAAAAATTTAAATATTACAATACTAATAATCTGGAAAATATGTCCCGAAAGCTCCAAAATCTTCAAATCCAAACAAGTTTTTCGTAATCAAAGATGGTTGTTCTTGACATCTTTTCGTATGATTCTTTCTTGTTCAGAACGAATGTACTCATGAGTATTAATATCACCGATTAGCAATATTTTTTTTTCTCTTTTACTTCTTTTAATCCTAATTTTTTTTTTTTTCATTTTTCATTCGTAATTCAATCATCTCATGGAATAATGTGGTATTTTGCTTGTCGTTTAATATTTAATTATGTATTACTATTTCTAGTTTTATATTTATTAATTAATATATGATGTATTTTTTATATATGTGTTAGTTATTTATAATATTTTATGAATTTTCATTAATTGTGAAAAATATAAGGACTATAATGTAATATACAAATAATTTTGAAGTTAGTTTTGAAGTTTTTCTTTTGGAGAAGAACACTTTGAAACTTCAAATATAGAGTTTGTGAAACTCCAAAATAGAGTTTCTTTTTGGAGATGCTCTAATAGAAGCTGCTGTGAGATCGTTGATGTGCAAAAAGTTTATATTGTGCAGTTAACATGAAAGATAGAATGATACACCAAAATTTGCACAACCAAAAAGCCATGTGAATCTAAGGTTATCAACTTACAAATCGATTCAAAAAGAATATATATAGATATATATAGAGAGAGGGGCTAAATGTCAGTTTTAATTTATTTAATTAGTTTAAAACTAAATATAATTAATATTTATAAATATATAAATAATATATAAAAATCCGGGTATCCATTTAGTTTTTGGTTCAATTCCGTTTTTCGGTTCAAAAAATATAAGATCCATTAGTATAAATGATAGGATCCAAACCTAAAACTTGTTTTTGATTTAGTTCGGTTTTTGGTTATGGGTAAATGTGCTCAAGCCTAAGAACAATAGCTACTCCAAACAACTAAGGATTGATTTTCGCTGGAACACGAGACACTTTATTGTTTAATCATCCACCTTGAGTCAAACCAATAAATAAAAATCTTTGTAATTTCAGTTTGAACAAGATTGAAATAATTTCAAATTTTCACTATTTAATTTAAGTTTCTTAGTTGTAAAACTGAAGATATAAATTTATAATTTTACACTTTCAGATTTTTCAACTTTAAACACTCACAAAATAAACTATTCACAGAGACAAGTTGAATGATTTCAAAAGTGAATTTGATCATTGTAGCTTTGCCGCAGCTACTGAAAAAGAAGACGCTGCTGACGCTAATATTTCCGGCGTCGGATTTAGTTATTGCGTCTTGCCGCTGCGACTGAAAAGTAGTTTCACCGGAGCTGCAATTTAAAGTGCTGCTGACATGTCTTTTGATATTAATTGATCGCTCCCCACTTATGCTGCGGCTAAGAAACGAACAGGGGTTATTAAGAATAGAAAATTTTAGTTTTGAAGTATTATTCCACCAACCTTGCCTTATTTTTTAAAATACTAGTGTAAAAGAAAAAAATAAATACTGTTTAGAAAAAATGAAGAAAAACATGGAATAAAAAAGTCAATCGGACGGTTGAGGTTGCCAAGCGGAAGCATTCAAAAGCGAGAGATCCTTCCAACCCAAACGGAGAGCTCCATTCTCTTCCACCAAAGTATACCCACTCCACGGCAGCATACCCAACAGCAAACCCGCTTGCGTAGCCGGGTTTCCCCGAAGCGAAACGGGTCTAAACCCCACCCTACTCAGCTCCTCTTTCCACCTCATCACCATCCTCCTTTTTCCTCCGACAATGTTCCTTATCTCCGTCCCAAACACAATCTGCTCCACAGTGAATCTCTCTCCACTCTCCTCCCCCAATCCATCCCCAAGCGCGTCAAACAACGCGCTGTAATAATGCAAAGCCTCCACGAATCTCCCTAGAAAGCAGCTTCCTCCGTCGTCGTAGCAGCTCAGTTCCTGCTCCACCATCGTTATAAGATTCGGTTTCAGCCTCTGTATAATCTCCAGCGTATCGAGATCGCTCCCAGTGACGTCGTATAGCCCGTGATGCATCCAGTGAACCACCACGGCCTCTCCGGGTCTCGTCCCGAGTTGATGACTTACGTTTCCGATTTTTCCTTCGATTGGATGAAACTCGAAGGGGAGGGATAAGGAAGCTGCGAAATCGGAGAGTCTCCGGCCGGTGGAGGCGAGGAGATCGGAGGATGGTCCGAATCCGGTGATACGAATTGATCGGAGCTTTTGACGACGAGAGGCGAGGATGTGGAAGAGTCCAGGCCATTGAAGGCCTTGCATCACGTCGAGATCGATGATGTGGACGGAGTCCTCGCCGTCAAGCGCCTCGAAAATTGCTTGGTTCGCCGTGAAATGCGAGAATTTGATCAGAGGGCTCACGGAGTTGAACGTCTGCAAGGCGGCGAAGATTCTCTGAGACTGGAGTGGACTATCGGAGAGTGGAGCGCACGCGGCGGAGAGGTAGGAGCTGATGACGCGCGCTTGAAGCGCCTGCGCGAAGTAGGCAACGACTCGCTCCGGGGAGGAGCCGAACGGAGAGCATATCTCGGAGATTTCGGACAAGAGGGTGGAAGCTTCAGGGAGATGATCTGTGGCGACGTATTCGGCGCATTGTAGGAGTAGGCTGAGGAGGTTGATCGCGCCGCCGTCGTCGTCTTCGAGTGTTGTCTCGTGAGGAAAGTCGAGATCTTTACGGCGTTTAACGGCGGAGAAATTGTTGGAAGAAGGGTAGTCTCTGTCTATACGTTTTGCAGTCATTGGGGTGGGGGAGTTGATTGAAATTGAGAGAGTGGAATCATTGAAGATAAAAAAGAAGAGAGCTGAAAAGAGGAGATTCGGTAGGCGAAAGGGTTTAAGAGAGTAAAGACATGATTTTTTTTGCAGAGACAAGACAAGACAAGATAGTCATTTTGGATTTGGATCAAGTGCTGTTGTGTGAACGTAACAGCTCCATTGCTTTTTTTTGTTTTTTTTGTCTTTTTGTTTTGCAATAAGACAAATCGGCTTTTATACGGCTGAAATCTTCCCGTGAAGGTTACAGCAATCTCATAAGCAATGTACGAAGAAAAACAATTAGTATTCTTATCGAAACAAACACTCCATCTTCTGGGGTTTTCTTCTCCACATGCTCTGTCTCTTGTGATGGAGCTAAATAGCATGTCTAAGTTGTCTGAGAAATGCAACTTTCAGATCCCACTGGTGGCTCTTGAGTCAGAATAAGTCCTTTAGAATTTCACTTGAACATACTTTTTTACTTGCTTGGCTCTTGAGTCAGAATAAGTCCTTTAGAATTTCACTTGAACATACTTTTTTACTTGCTTGCTTTCTTATATTCTCTTTTACCCATGTTTTTAGTCAACAACTGGTGGAGGAGCTTGAACAGACTCTCCCTGATGAAGTCGATTATTTTTGCTGATGCAAGTTGGTAACAACATAGCTAACTGCTTCCTTTATTATTCTGTCTGAGATTATCTCTACATCTTCTTCATTCATGAATCATAAGGGCTGGGCCCAATCATAAATTGTGTTACAAATTTGGGATGCAAAGATCAAGAGAGAGAGGTCAACAATTTGTACCTGTACATCTTTACCTTTATAAAGTAGACTTCAGAGTATATGAATATGGATGTCAACTTACTTTTTTAAGTAAAATTTCTTTAACACCTGTTGATTATTTTCGCTCAGCTAATTACACTGCTAAGTACCTCTGCTTAGACTCTGAGGTCTCTAGATACTTTTGAGCTTTCACAAGACTACTAACACAAAGAGTCACCCATAGGTTACAAATAAGCAAACCCCCGTAGTGCTGCCGTCCATGGGTTTGTATGTGGTGGATTCCTGTTAGAGATATAAGACCCTTTTACTAGGATGACTCATCTTGGCTCTGCATAAATCAGCATCCCAAAAGAAGTGATATTTCTTTGTACTGGACTTGAATGCAGTGTCAATTGTATTTGGTTAAAAGAGAAAGCTTTCTCATTGTGTGTACAACTATTTTGCATTTTACGTAAATTACTTGTCCCCTGAAGACAGCTTCCTAAGGAGTATTTGTCCTGCCATAGTGAACAGTTCAAAGAAGGTAACGTTAGACATGAGTACACGGTTTTCACACCAGCGTAAAGCAAAACTCAAAGGATCATATGAGCTCAGTTCAAATGTTGACATGCACAAATGTTAAAAAAAATAATGTATGGACTTGGATATATGAGTGGTATTAGTCACAGCAGCAAAATCAAGATACTACCAGTAGCAAATACAACTGATCGTTATTACAAATCTGAGAACTAATTATTAATTCGTGCATAATTTAACTCTATTTTTATCGTACAAATTTACAGTAACTTTTCTAGCTGAATTCATTGACAATGGAAGTCAGTAAAAGGGTTTATTTGCTATCTAACCAAATTTGAAAGTGAAATTAAGTAGATACCATTGATTTTGACATAATGAATAATCTAACATTTGTACCTAAAATGTGCCGGTTATAACATTTTCATTTGCAGTTACCCGGTAAACATGACGTATTATAAATTAATATATGGCCAGAAGTAAAAGAAGTACAAGATATTCACGTTACACATTTATTAATCACATGCGTATACATTGAGTGTTCTATTCAATATCACCAAAGTAGTATAGAAAAACTAAAACCACACCCATAATTATTAATTCCTAAACACTACCTCAACCCCAACTTATAAATGCTAAACCCTAAAACCAAATATAGACTATAATCATGTGACTGGATGATATAAAATGAGTAGATAAAATAGAAGACTTTTCAATAAAAAAAATATTTCATATCACTGAAATAGTATAGAACTCTAATCTAACACATAACTTCTAAATACTAAACTCAGACTCAACTTTTAAATACTAAACCTAAATTGTTACCACTAAACCCAAACCCAAATGTAAACTATATTATATATTTATAATTGTAAATAATATTAAAATTTGAAATTATATATACTATTTATGATATTAAACTATACAATATAATCATATGAAAATAGTAACTTGTGTGAATCTACACATGTCTGGTTGACGAAATGATAAATTTAACTTTGTAAATGTCTAGTTTTGATGATTACACATAAACCAAAATTCGTATAAATGATACAATTACAAATATACATCATGCTTATCCAGGAGTTCAAGATATTAATGTTTATATTTCTTTCTTTACAAATCAAAAATATTAACAAAAATGAAACAGTGATTAATACACACTATCATTATAAACAGAATAGAACATTTTCCTCAAGCAACAAATGGAATAGAAAATAATAAATAGCATAGTACATTAATATGAACGCGTCACATAAGAGAAATGTTGAATTTGAAAGGCACAAAAGACTGTTCTATTTCATAAATATAGTATAGAAATATGTGTATAAGAGAAGACTATATCATAAATAGTATATCAACCTCAAACAAATATGTACACAATATATAAGTATCTTCTTCCTCGTCTTATCAACCATGATTCTGCAATCTCATAATTTCCTTACCCCATTTCCTTATCTCCCTCGTCTTTTTCGATGTCGAAGATCACTTCTTCAATCACTTCCTCGTCAATTGCAATTATGCGTTTTTTAAGTTGCGTTGATTTCGTTACAGAAATGGTGAGAGGGTGTGAGTAAAAGAAGGGCTGAAACAGTAGCTGAGAAGAATATGTGGTGACTGAGTGATTGGAGGTGGAGTTGATAATCTAACCGCACGTGACTTCACATCTATCTTTCACCTCAAAATTTCTCCGACAACAAGATGGTGGTGTCGTACATGCAAATGTGGGATGAGATCTATTCATTTTTCTCATACTATCTAATTATTATGAGAGGTGAAATTGAATACAACGTGGCTACAGATTTTACTTGTTACATTAATTAATTATTTATTTAATTGTTTTGATAGTAGGTTTCACCGGTTGAATATGAAGACAATATATTATGTATAAAAGGCACGTTGTATAGGTGATGTAGAATTTTTTGTTAGACATTGAATCATAATTTGTTTGAAGGATATACAATGCAATTTCCCTATGTAAATGCAGCATAGCAGAATTTGTTTTCTGTAAAAATGACACCTAGCTTGTTTTTCTTAACTTTATGTGAATAATATTTCTAAAATGATTTTGAGTAAAGCATAAATATATAAAATAGTAAAGCTGAAAATAATATTCTATATGTTGTCAAATGATAAATATTTTATTAAAAATTATAGAAAGAAGTTTTTGAAATTATATATATAGTAATATTTAGTTAATAAATTCATTAAGATTACAATTTATCACTGTTATAATATATATATATATATATATATGAATTTATTAACTAAATATTACTATGAAATTATTAAAAAGATAATCATAGAAAATGTGTATTTGTAATCTGATTTTTTATTGACTTTTTGGTAACTGTGAAATTTTGAAAAGTCTATTAATCTGAAATTAAAATGAAATAGAAAGAGTAAGTTTGAAGTATGTATGTCCCTTTTAATTTTTTTTTTTGTTTCATTGAACTATTTTTGTCGTCCATCCATTTCCGTACCAAATATTCTTCTGTAACAATTAAACTTTGGCGCATATGTCAACCACAAAACTTTTCTTATTGACAACATCTACAAATGTGTACGTAAGAGAGAAGGAAATGAGAGGTAGGTCTGTGAATGTCACATGAAGCAAATGAGAATAATGAAGACACTTTTCTCTCTAATATCATCTTCATCAATTACAGTATAATCATGTCCCAATAATTCACCTATTCGTCCTCTTTCTTTCCTTTTTCCTTATTAGGTTATTTCTCAACTAACCTTTTGACTTTCTGAATATCTACTTTGACTTAAGTTATCATCGTTATAGATAGCCATGGGCGTTCGAGCACCTTTCACATTAGAATCAGATATTTCAGATTTTCAAATATTTTAGATTTTGAAAAATAAAAATTTCATTACTCAAGTTTATTATATTTTACATTTTATAATTAACTTGACCGACTTTTTGAATTTTTAATAGGTTAAATGATTAAAGGTTTGAAAACATAATTTTCAAAATACAATAATACTAATTTAAAATAAAAAAAGAACACTAATTTAGTTATTGTTTTTAAAATTTGAATGCAACTTTTATTAATGCATAAAATAAGAAACTTGATATACATTTTAAGTGGATATCAATTCATTTTGTTTTCAACTATATGTATATTATACGATTCAGAACCATGTACAACATAAATAAAAATATTTTGAATAAAATGAAAGAAATAAATACAAATATATAGTATACATATGTTCGATTATCTTCGGATATTTATCGGTTTTGGATATTATTCATTCGAGTTTGGATGGGATTGGTTGCGGGTATTGAGTAAAATATACACCCCTAGTTATATACTTATAGTGATGAAAATGATATTCCTCGTGTTACATATAACATACTTGCATTACATTTTTGTTAGTAAATTATGCTAAATCACCGAAATTTAAGGGAAATAGATTATTTTACCTAATTTGATCCGAGATAATTTCAACCAAAGAGATAGGATCTTGTATCATGCACCGATAAAATATTTGACTTTTTCAATATCTACTAATACCGCATACATGTGAAAGCATTAATCCTAAATTTTAATATGTTTGTTCTTTTCAACTTTTTATCTTTACGAATTTGCCTTTTTCCTTTTTTTTTTACCACCTACATTTCCACAATATCTTTTCCTAATAATATATATCTGCCTCTTCCTTTCATCATTGCTTTCTTGTCTCCTTCTCTTTCACTTTATATTCTTTGGAAATTATTAGCTGATCATCTCTCTTGTCAAAGCTAGGGTTCTTCTCATGGTCTCCATGTTCATCTCTGAAGCTTTTTCTTTTGAGGGGATTGTTGTCTGGCACGAGGCCCTTAACTCAGATCTACCATCGGTTATATATATATTTTTCTTTTCTTAGTAACTCTATTTGTATATATATATGAACGACCAATTTAGTGGTTAATGACGTCGGACCAGGCTTCATTCCCTTCAATCACATCGCTTCGATCCACCTTCCAGTCTCCAGGTTAGTTTAGATTTCCTTTTTTTTTTTTTTTTATATATATCACTCTCTGAATTACAGTCAACTTATATTTCTATGTGAACGGTTTCATAGAAAGCTAACAAATCTATCTCTAGGAATGAATTAATTAGTAACTACAAGTTGAAGTTGTTAGTAGCATCTAGAAGAAAAGCAAGAGCAGATCTATATTCTATGTAAGTGATAGATCGCAGAGAAATTCGCGTTTCTGAATATAATTTACAAACCGAGCTTTGAATAGTAAAAATAAAAAAATCAACTAGTTCAAACAAATTTGAGCTCCATTTTTAAGGCTTATAATTCCTTATCTCTCTAGATAGTTAATTTGAATTAGATAGAATTTCTGTTGTTTTTTTCTTTTTTGATAAAAGCATTTCTGTTGTTTCACAAGCATTTATGAATATGGAAAGAGTTAGAAGAAAAAAAAAAAGAAATCAAGAAGAAGAAATACAAGTGGGCGGATAAGAGTTTTGCTTACAAAGATGACTTTTTTTATACAAATGAGTGAATGGAGAGGATGAATTCTCTTCTTGTTGCACTTTTACTTTATAGTATCTGTTAAAGAAGTGTATCAGTCACAAAGGTTT